CGAAGCCACGGCAGATGGCGGCACGAACGCTGGAGTATGGAGATCGATCGTGCCACTCGTCTTGCCTGCGTGTGACCCGGCGACCGGCGGGGCCTCATACGTCTCCAACGTATTTATAATTTATGATTGTTCCATGCTATTATATTATCTATTTTGGATGTTTTATATGCATTAATATACAATTTTATATTATTTTTGAGACTAACCTATTAACCGAGAGCCAGTTTCTGTTTTTTTCCATGTTTTAGAGTTTTGCAGAAAAAGAATACCAAACGGAATGAAACTTTCGCGATGATCTTTCTTGGACCAGAAGCAAACCATGAGACTTGGAGATGAAGTCGGAGACGCAACGAGGCGGCCACGAGGGTGGAGGGCGCGGCCCCTACCTCGTGGGCCCCTCGTGGGTCTCCTGACCTAGTTCCTTCGCCTATATATACGATTATACCCTGAAAACATCCAGGGGAGCCACGAAACCACTTTTCCACCGCCGCAACCTTCTGTACCCGTGAGATCCCATCTAGGGACCTGGTGTCCTGCCGGAGGGGGATTCGATCACAGAGGGCTTCTACATCAACACCATTACCCTTCCGATGAATCTTGAGTAGTTTGCCACAGACCTACGGGTCCATAGCTAGTAGCTAGATGGCTTCTTCTCTCTCTTTGATTCTCAATACCATGTTCTCCTTGATGTTCTTCGAGATCTATACGATGTAATATTCTTTTGCGGTGTGTTTGCCGAGATCCGATGAATTATGGATTTATGATCAGATTATCTATGAATATTATTTGGTTCTTCTCTGAATTCTTATATGCATGATTTGATATCTTTGCAAGTCTCTTTGAATTATCGGTTTAGTTTGGCCTACTAGATTGGTTTTTCTTGCAATTGGAGAAGTGCTTATCTTTGGGTTCAATCTTGCGGTGTCCTTTTCCAGTGATAGTAGGGGCAGCAAGGCACGTATCTATTGTTGCCATCGAGGATAAAAAGATGGGGTTTTCATCATATTGCTTGAGTTAATTCCTCTACATCATGTCATCTTACTTAATGTGTTACTCCGTTCTTTATGAACTTAATACTCTAGATGCATGTTGGATAGCGGTCGATGTGTGGAGTAATAGTAGTAGATGCAGAATCATTTTGGTCTACTTGACACAGACGTGATTCCTATGTTCATGATCACTGCCTTAGATATCGTCATAATTTTGCGCTCTTCTATCAATTGCTCGGCAGTAATTTGTTCACCCATCATATTATTTGCTATCTTGAGAGAAGCCATAAGTGAAACCTATGGCCCCCGGGTCTCTTTTGCATTATATTGAATCTCTTCTCCATCATACTAGTTTCCGATCTACTATTTTGCAATCTTTTACTTCCCGATCTATAAACAAAAAATACCAAAAATATTTACTTTACCGTTTATCTATCTCTATCAGATCTTACTTCTACAAGTAACCGTGAAGGGATTGACAACCCATTTATCGCGTTGGGTGCAAGTTGTTGATTGTTTGTGCAGGTATTCGGTGACTTGTGTGTTGTCTCCTACTGGATTGGTACCTTGGTTCTCAAACCGAGGGAAATACTTACTCTACTTTGCTGCATCACCCTTTCCTCTTCAAGGGAAAAACTAACGCAAGCTCAAGAGGCAGCAGGGCCGCACGAGGGTTGCGTCTCCTTTTTTTTAGCATGTCAGCGTTAGCGCTACATCTCTTCAGCCTCGTGGATCGTGGGTGGGTTACCTCATGCATGCGTTTGTTTCTGACAAGACAACCTAGCAAGGCTTTGGGCCTTCTTTATTTATTGGGCTGTACCCCGGGCCTGGAAAGCAACCTATATAAATTGTAGCCTATAAATTTTTGCAAGCCTAGGGCCTGGACCCTGGGTGCCCGGGGCCCAGATCTGCCCCTGATTGGGTGTGTTGGGGTCTTGGGGACATAAGAGACTCTTTATATTTGCTTGCATGGTTGTTTGAGAGAGACCATTTTCATCCTACACCTCTAATGGAATGATAAATTTTAGATCATCCACTTGAGGGAAATTTTTGGCTGTCATATAAAACTTTGCGCTTGAAGGCCCAACAGAGTCTTTAAGAATAAAAATGCGTAGTAGACATCAACCTATTTCTGGCGTCAATGCCAGGGAGGTGAGTGCTTGAAAGTATATTTTTCTATCTTGCAACTTAATCTTTTAATTTCTTGTTTATTCACTAGTTTCCTTCGCCCCTCTTCCGTTCGTCTTTTTCGCTTGCTTCTTGTGTGCTTGTATGTTGGATTGCTTGCTTTGTCACGACGGCTCAAGATAATACCAAATTGTGTGACTTTTCCAATACCAACAACAATGATTTTATTAGCACTCTGATTGCTCCCAGTACTAATGCTGAATCTTGTGAAATTAATACCGCTTTGCTGAATCTTCTTATGAAAGATCAATTTTCTGGCCTTCCTAGTGAAGATGCCGCATCCCATCTAAACAATTTCGTT